ATGAATAATTTTTCTGTATCCTATTTTCTAAGATGTTTAAGATTTATTTTCAGGCATGTGGATGCTTAAGTGTCCCTTGAATTCAGACAGACTGGCACATATGCAGCTATTGTAAAATCAAACCCTTATGGTGCTTCTACAGAAATCAGCCTATTCAGTTTGTAGCTTATATTTGGTAAAATAATCTTAAGTCTCTAAAACCACCTATCTATTGCTTTTGTTGTTTTGGCGATCTATAGTCTGAATGCCGAATGGACCAGACAGGACATGGGTAGGGCAATTTGGTACACCATGGCGAATGTCAATAAAAACGACTTGAATGCGGTTTTGGCAGTTAGATTTCAAAACCTGCCAAATTTCCATGTGTGGAACAAAAACAGACAAACAACTACAAGTTAAAAGCTATACTATCACTTTGTTAGCATAAATCTATGTCAAGTTCTATAGGTAATTGTGTGGGGCTAATGCACAAATCCGTATTTGTTGTACAAAAAGTTATTTTGCAACATAACGTGTTCTAAATCTTTCTGCTTGTGGCGCAAGAGTATCCATAAATCTTTAGTAAGTGAATAAATGTAATCAGTTTCCTTGCAGATGATACTCTGGCACTATGCTCAGTTTTTCAATGAGCTGTTTTCACTGTGATTATGACTGGAAACTAGGACTCTAGCCCAACCTGGGAATCAAAGGTTCCCTTTATCCATATTTTATTTACAGCTTTATTTCAGGCTCTAAACAGAAATCCAGTACAATTACTTCAAAGATTTAAACTCATTAGATGGAACATCTATGGTTTCACCTCTTACATTTAATTCTTAATTATGAGGGTTAAACAAAACTTTAATTCAGCATAGACTTGAAACAACAATAATGTTTGTTCCAGTCGCAGTGATCTACAGAGGTGATCTGCTTGCTGTTGCGTGCTGCTGTAGCAATCATCCAAGCTACAGAGCACCCTCTGCTGTGTCTGTTACAAGCGTTGTATATGCTCACAGTGTGCATGTTTTCTATAACCCAGACAGGCAACCATGGCCTTTAGGGACCATTTAGCACAATGTTTAGCAGGTTTCGTTAATTAATGTCTTTGCTGTAAGACCCATATAAAGGTTTAATGAGCTCAGTTTAATAATTAAAGTGATTTTTTGAACAAAGATGACATTAGACTTAGAACTCTAATGCTCAACTAGAAATTAAATTTTAAATATTGCTACTAGTGTTTCAGGATATGTATTTTAATTCTTGGACACTACACTAAAATATGCTTTGTAACACCGACTCACATGATTTCCAACATCATTTGTTATTTCTAAGATGCTATCATTGTCTTTCAATAACAATATTGATAATTGTTGGTTCAGATTTGTTGCTTTGCTTTTTTCATGGTCTGTACTTTTATGGAGTGCCAGTTGAAGTGTGTATATGCCTTTGGTTCAGAAAAAAAATAAAAAGGAAGAAAAAGCATTACGTTTCCTTTAGTTACATGTTTACTGTGCTGCTCAGTCAAGAACATAAGGGCATAAAAGACTAATGGAGACTATTTCTGCTACCTTGGTTGCTAGAGGCTAATTGATTCAAAAATATGAATGGCTTAAATGGTAGGGCTGCAATCGAGGTGGGGTGGTGTCAGAAGATCAGTACAAGAGAGCCAATGTTTACAGGAGCAGCTGGAGTAACTATGCATCTAAATAGTTATAAGATCATTTACAATGCAGAATCAGAATGCAAATGTTTTTAAAAGAACCCAGGGAAATTGCACTTAAAATGTCTTATATGCAAAACTTATGGCATTTAGTAATTTGTTGCTCAGTGATCATAGTATACATTAGAGGCTAAGCTTGCCTATCTGTACTATAATATTCAGTTACCATTTAACAGTTGAGACTAAATACTCTGTAAGTGATTCCTGTATGAATGTCTTCCTGTGGTAACAGATCAAAAAATGATATAATGGTACATATCTTGGGGTGAACCTGAATAATGTGACTTTATGCATGTGTTTGCATTTAATGTGGCCACTCAATTGTATCGTTAATCTCGACATACTGCCTGAGCCTTTTTTTCAAGGAATACACTGAATAACAAATGCATTGTAGACCAAATCTGACAGGCTGCCTACATTTATATGTTTGGAGTAATTAAAGCCCTGCCTCAGAAAGTGCTTGTAAGTTATCTCAGTCTTAGAGAATGCTCAAAAGAATAATGTACCACTTTTTTATCAGGCAAGCCCTGAAAAGTGCAAATGTGTATTCCTTAATGTTTTATTTCATATTGATTTTCTTCTTTTGCATCTTTGCAAAACTTTCTTTGGAGCCTATTAATAACTGGTAGAGTCTCTCATTTGTGATCTATTGGAATTAAACTGCCTTGTTTAGTTTGCATTTCCCCAGACTCTGATTAGCATTCTAATTTCGCTCTTCCCCAAAGGTTTTGTTTTTTGCTGTAATCATCAATACTTTCTGTACAGTCATTGCACTCACTGAATGAAATGTGTTCTATTCAGAACCTTCATGTATATCAAATGCATTTCTTATATTTTATTTTAAAATATTGTCCAACCTGTCTCTCTTTGTTAATTTGTTTCTTTAATTTCCCCACTGTTCGTGACTTTTAAAATATCGAATGTGCTTTTAATGCTCGATACAATTTATCAACTTCTTATGTGGTCAGGAGCTACACTTGTTTTGTCCTACTGTATGATGTGACTTAACAGTTTTCATATTTGCAGTAGGTATTCTAAGTACATATTATGTCCAGTTGTCCTTGCCAGTCTAAATTCTTGTGCACTAGTTCAGTTGCAGACAATTAACTATTGTATGTTGGCATCTGCATAGCCTGCTTTTTGTATGAGTTAAATAGTTTGGTGTAACATTTGTTGAAAAACATTTTACTTCTACTTGTTTAAATATGATGCCTGATGTACCTCCTCAATGTAAAATAATGGTTTTAGTTAAAGTACGGTATATTGTTTTCTGATAGCTCAATTGCATTAGCTTGAGCAGTTTTATGAAAGAAAACAAAATGTATATGTCAGGTCCTGGGTTGGCACAGTTGTTAGCGTTACTGCCTCATAGCACTGGGACCTGGGTTCAATTACAGGTCTGAGGTGCTATCTGTGTGGAGTTTGTATGTTTTCTCTGTGTTCACATGGGATTCCTCAAGGTGCTCCGGTTTCCTCCTACAGTCCAAACACTTACAGGTGGGTCAATTGGCAATTGGAAAATTGTTCTTGGTGTGAGTGAGTGTATGTTTGTGTCTGTCTGCCCTTTGATGGACTACCATCCCATCCAGGGTGTAGCCTGCCTTACACCCATTGCTTGCTGGGATAGGCTCCAGCTTACCCCTGAAACTGAATTTGATAAATTAGCTAAGAATTGGATAGATGGAAGTCAGGTCGTATGTATCATTATGAAGGTAAAATATATCCAGGTTAATTCTGCCTTGATAAATATAATGCATAGAGAATTGTAATACTTCAGAGTGAATGTGAAAAGTGTATATATTTTTTATTTAATCATAATAATAACAATACTGACTGTAATAATTAAAAATACTACCCTTCAAACAATATTCAGTGGTAATAATAGCAGTGTTACTTGCAATAATCACCAAATTACTTGAGGAATTTAGATATTTTAAACAATCAAATGTCTGCAAGTAACATTTTAGAGCTACAGTATCAATAGAATATAATTCTTAGACATCTGTGTTTCATTGTGCTCAGTATAAATACTGAAACAATGAAGAAATTGGTTATAATAAATAGTATGACAGAAGAAAGAAAATTGTTCTGTTGAATAATTGCATAAGAAGGTGTATATAACTATGTATATGTTTATTTTTATTTTAATCAACTTTCTTACAGAATAGGTGAAGAAGAACAGTTTTCCTTAATTTTCAGGAGAAAAATGCAATGGCACATCTTTGGAAAAGACCAGTAGCGTAGTACTGTAGTATGTGATGCACTACTGATTGTAGTAATACTGACACCTGTGGGTGTAAAAAAGGAATGGTGTATCAACCAATCCTGATACGTGTCTAAGGCGCATTTGTTGGGAAAGATCACTGTTGATCTTTGGCCTTCAGAAATGTAGGATTTTGCAGAAATTGGGTTCACATCCTTCAGATGGTCAAATATGGTTGCTGAGGTCTTATTGGAAAAAAAAAAACAGTGTTTTATCACGTAATATAGTGCTGATTCAGGCAAAGCTGTCCCCCTGCTGGTGAAATCTGTTTCTATGACGTTTCGAAAAGGTCCATTCCTTTACTCTTTGGCAGAAGGATTGTGTCGTTGATTTGACAAGTACAGAGTCATATCTTCACATTAGAAACAAAGTCATACATATATAAAGATGAAGGGTAAACATTCTATTTTGCATGACTCAGTAAACAACATTTACAATGATTTATTTTACAGAAAGGCTAAGCATCAAAACATATATCAGATGAGTAAAATGCTGTTTTACTCTGTTTTGATACTGTTGTTTATTATATTTTGTTCATATAATTTGACTGTCAGAGAAATTATTGATTAGAGCTATACTATATATAAAGTTGTTCTTTTTATTTATTTATGTGACAGCTTGCTAATTATTTAATGATGTTAAAGATATCAAAATTTCTATAGAACAGAAAACATTTAGTCAATAAGTTTCCAAAATGTAGTATGTATTCAGGAATGTTGAAGAAAATTAAACTTTAATTTATTGTATCTACTGAATGCAGAAATTACATATCATCATACCCGTATCACCCGTGGTGAGATAATAACGTCGTTCCTTATAATTGATGGAAAATGAAATCATGTAGATAGCATTCTTTAAAGGTAATGAAATTTACTGTGAGAATTTTGACTCCTTTTCAGTAACTTCTGGATATTTTAAGTTCAGGTACAGAAAATTGAATTTTATTTAACCTTTGCAGAGAGCAAACAGTTCAATTTTTCACTTCCAGTGCTGTGGATTTTAAATGAAAAATTAATGTTAAAAATACAAATGTGATTCAACACTGTGGGTAATACAATATTTATACATGTATTTAAGAAACACTAAAAATAGATTCAGAAATAAATGGTGCGTGGATTACAAGGGGTCACGTGACAGTAAAATCAACGCATTTTCACCCGCATTGAAACAAAAACATCAGGTACTATAGTCTTGGTGTCATGGAATCTGTGCTAAATGCTTTCATTCACAAAATGTTCTGCTGTACAATTTATGCGAATTTTACAAAGTTTAGCCTTTTATTTTTTTGTGTTTGTGAACAAAAGAAAGGGAATACTGCATTTATGCGTCTAAGCTTCATGATAGAACAGAAAAATAATAAATTAAAATAGATGATTTATATTAAAATAAAACAACATTCTGTCAGAGATTCACATGAATACCTTATATTTTAAAACAATAATCTACATTGATATCTGTTTTGCCCATTTAGGATCCAGTTAAATAAATCTCTTTACCCCCTTGTGTACGTGTTTATCGTGCAAGTTCCACAGTGTAAATTGTTAGATAAAAATTAAATGGATGAACATGTCAGCACTAAATAGAAAAGTCATACAGATTGTTTCCTAAATTCCTCCATCATGTGTTCTTATATTTTCTCATTTTATATTACAGAGGAGAAATGCAATGCAGTGTTGTTACAAAATGACAAAAGGTGACATTTAAAGATGCAGAATAAAGTGCAGAAATAATTGAAATGAGTGTGAAGGAACAAGTGGGAGCTTATGTGCTTTTTTTCTGTTACCATAGGATTTATTCCAGAATAACAAACTGGCAAAAGAAAAACTGCAAAATAGTAGTGTTATTTAGGGCTGTTTCTTTGTAGATTCACGATGAATCGAAAACCTTCTGGCTTTTCATATTTTCTGTTGGACATTTAGTATTTAACTATGTCCAGATATGTCTCCCTGCAAACTTTTTCGGCTCCCTCCTGGGTAAATACCTCTTGATAATAACGCATTCTGAAAGAAATTGAGTGATGGCAAATGCAGACACTGGAATGGTTTAAAAGTAATTGCTCTGTTTACTGAAGTGACCAGCTTTCTGTGCGGAATGCTCTATGCTCTGTGCTTCTGCAGCACTGCACCCCTGAGTTCAGTTCAGGAATAGAGCATGCATGCGCTGGTTGAAATTTGGTTGGTCTTCTGTTTTGTTGCCGATGTAAGAACACTAGAGAGCAGCCTGTGCTTTGTTTTACTTCTAGACGCTATATGACACCAGCATTCATCCCAAATGCTGAAGATGGTTAAAACAACCACACAGGTCTCTAAAGCTCTGCAGATGTGCTTTTTGCAAAAAGAGCAGAGTCGTCAATAGATTTAATAGTGTATATAAAATACTTATACATCAAAAGTGTGATCAAAATAAATTATGATGTCTTGATGTTACTTGATTTTACCTATAAATATTTCTTGTTAATATTTCCAAAATGTCATTGATTTTAAATCTTGATAAGACAGTCCTTGCTGTTGTTCAGATACCGGTTAGATCATAGCACACGACGTGAGCTTAATTTGGTTTTAAATGGTAGAAAATCAGCTTTGTAACTAAAAGTAAGGAATCTGCTCATAATGTACTGTATATACTCAGTTTATTGTGCTGAGGATATACTCTATACTGTTTAAAGATGACAGTAAATGTAATTACGTTATGTGGTCTCTGATCTCCAAATGAAAAACATTAAAGATCTGTGCACAATGAATACAGTATATAGCACTGTACTGCTTAAATTTAAAATGAAGGGCAAAACACTTCAGCCTTCCAAAGCAAATTGCCATAAAATGAAAATAATTTTCTGATATAATGATTGTTGTTCTTATATTTTGTTTTTAAAAATGTCTGAAGACGTGTGTACTGTAAATAACATTTTGTTTTTATTTAAACATTTTAGTTTACAAAAGAAATAGGATAACTTGCATCTTTGTTCACTCTTGCATTTCTGCTTAACAGATTTTACACAGAAGGTTTACCATAATAAAAACTGTGTTCAGCTGTCCTTTGATGTTCAAGTATCCTGAAATTGAAAGACACATTAAAGCTCAAATTTCCAATCTTTGTGAAAGAACCACTGCACAGCCCCTCTCACTTCAAGTCAACAGGTCCATCAGAAGCTGCTGTAACAACAGTAAATCCATAATCACAGTCTCCGTCGGTCCTCTGCAGTGCAGTGCAAAGTGTGTTTGTTTTAATCCCAGCACTAATGTCACACTTCGCACTCTCTTGATGGCTGTTGTTGACAGTTGCAAGATCCATACTCATTGATGATGACCAGGGCTCCTTCGATGTGGTTGGGTTTGTAATCAACATAGTACTCTTGGGCAGACATGGTAGCCATTTGCTGCATGGTTTGTTTTTGTTTCTGTTTGCGGCGTTGGGTGGTGAAACATTGCCTCATTTGTCTCAGGCTGGCAGGAAAGCACTTCCAAGAAACATACAGCATTAACACCACAATGAGAAAGGAAAATATGAGTGCCATTGTCCCGGTAACCACCTTGTGGATCTGCATAGTGTTTTCATGATCTTCATTCGCCACTGTCACAGTAAACGAGTTGGTCACCACTTCACCTCCTGCGTCCTGCAGATCATACGGGCTTACAGTGGGTCCCTCTTTACTGTAACCTTTTGCCCAATCCTTTGTGGCTGTGTTTATGTCAGTGTCGATTGTTGCATCTACAGGATCTTCACAGAGCTGGAAAGCATAGATTGCATCTAGAACATCCTCACCCTGTGCAATTTCAGGGCTGGCACACAGTAAGGTACTATCATGCTGCCCCTGGAAGTTGCTAAGCCATGAGGCCAGAGCACAGACATTTCTACTGCACTCCCATTCATTGCCAGAGAGGGTGATGCTAGTCAGGGATGTCCAGGAATCCAGAATTCTTTGATCAATGTAGGTAAGCCTGTTGGAATCCAGCTGCAGTGATTTCAGGTTAGGCACGCTTTCGAAAACATGAGGTTCAATGTATTCAATCTCATTTCCCGAAAAGTCGATTTTTTCTAGAAAATTCCAAGTCCACTCTAGAGTACTGACCACGATGGTGGCTTTATTCCTGCGCATGTAGAGGGTGCGCAGTGAGATGAGCCGGGGGAAGTGGGCGAGGTTGACTTTCACAAGTTCATTGTGCTCTAAATGCAGCTCGGTGAGCTTTAACAATCCTGCAAAAGAGTTACGAGCCAGGCTCTGCAGTTGGTTGTAGCCCAAATCTAGAAACTGCATGCTACGACAGTCCTGGAAAATCCTCACTGGTACATACTTGAGTGCATTTGACCGTAAGTGTAAGGTGGTAAGCTTCCTAAGGCCATGGAAAAGATCTGGCTCCAATGCCTGTAGGTTATTGTAAGATAAATCCAAATTTCTCAGGTTGGGCATGGGTCTGAAAGTGGTGTTTGGGAGGGTCTCTATCTTGTTGGAACTGAGAATGAGTTCTTTAACCCTGCGCAGTCTCTGGAAAGCATTCTCTTCCACAGAGTAGATGCGATTGTGATCCAGATAGAGCCATGTGAGCTGCATTAACCCCGCAAATTGTCCGTCACGCAGCTCTGAAAGGCTGTTGTACCGCAGAGACAAGCCCATGATACCCGAGAGGTTGTGAGGCATTTCTGTCAGATTCAGAGACTCACAGTACAATAGCCTGCCGTCACAGCGACAGAGCTTCGGACATATGCTCTCCACAACTGGAAACATTTTTAAAAAGATGCCCAGTGTGCACAGTATCAATCCTGGGGGCTTTCTTAGCAGCCACTTTAGGTAGAGACCAATAAGAAGGAAATCCATTAGCATGAATATTCCTAAATATAGCAGAGAAAAAGTCCATTGAATCTTTCAAATTCTACATCATATTTATAAACTCCCATTTAGAATTTTTTTTCTGAGCTTTTTATAGCAAGAAATAGTCTTGCTAAGATGAAAATAAGAGAATTAATAAAAATAAAAGACAAGTGACTTTGTTCATGTTAGATATCAGGGAGTAAGAGGAGAGGAGAAAAAAAAGCTTTCTTCATGAACCAATTTCATATGAAAGGATTCTTACTCACCCTTTTCCAGAGACTGACAACCTCTATTCAGCTGCTCTCTTTGTGTTGAGTCTAATTATGTGCGAATCTAAAAAAGACCCCACTGTGGTACAAATTCAGTCCCCTTTCTCAGTTGACACAAAAATCTGGCAAGCTTACAATGTCTTAGTTCTCTTCATGTGAAAGAGCCAGAAAGAGGATTCCAAGTAGCTTTCAGCTGACTTGTAGAAACTGCAAGTTTCCCCCGCTGTATGCATGAGCTTTATCCTTCCTCTGCTGCTTCTCTGCAGTAAATGCTGCGATGATCAGAGAGGGGAAGAAAAAAGCCCTCAAAACTCTTTTTGCTAATGACTCCTCCGATCTGTCAACACAAATTACTGTCCATCACTTGAAGTGACCAGTGACCACGATGGCCTTTAATCCTCTGAGACAGCTCATTATTCATTCAGTGACCGCCTGAAAAAAAGAAGAAGCTAGGGCTTCTGTTTTTCCTTCTTTGCGTTTTTATTTATTATTTTATTTTATTTTCACTTTAAGCCTCTTTATAATTTACTATTTTTTTCCATTATGCTGTTTCACTTTATCTGGAAGGTAAGGCTTAGAAGGCAGCGACGGCTTCTTGAAAGAAAAGGTTTTCTTTCCCTTACAGCAGAGTACTGTACTGGCAAAGCATGCAGAAGCACCTTCTGTTCACTGAGTGTCGTAAGCCACTCACGATTCAGGCAGGGCAGCTATGGTCTCTCTCTCTATCTCTCTCTCCCTTGCTCTCTCACTCTCTCTCTTAGACATTGGCATATTGAAAAGGGGCTGGGCTTAAAACTGGGGTTTTAATGAAGCACTGAGCTAATGCATGCTCTTTTTTAATAAAATGAAATGCTATCTGTCTGCTGCCTTCTGCTTTTAGAATACCATCTCCTCATTATTACAAATTAATATTCTGCTAATGACTTGAAAGCATTTTACATGTTGACTGTCCCGTGTTGAATATGTATAATCCACTAAAATGTGCAAAGATGAAAATGAAAACTGTGTTTTTGATCATATTGATAAAAATACATTCTCTCTGCATGACAGAGAAAGAATTTCTGCTCAGCAGGAGTATCTAAATGCAGACTGAAAGATAAATTATTGGTGATTGTTTTTTTATATATTGGTTGACCTAGGAAATAGAGGTGTATTATACTCTTTAAAATAATGCCTTTCATAGAGGTATAGCATGCCTTTTATAGAAAGAGCTAGGTGTCCTAGAAGCACTGCATCAGTTTATGATGCATAGAGATGCTGTTTGAAGTCTCTGAAAGGTCTCTAAAGTCTCTCATGCCAAGTTCTCACTGCTTTAGTTTTAGATGTGAACTAATTTACAAGACTAAGAAAGGAAAGGGAATATATAGTGAAATTTTCGCAACAGGCAGACAAATCCCTTAGTTCATTGTTGTCAACACTTGATTGCATGTACTGCACATACAGAAAACCTACAAGAAAGAATTGAAATTATGAAAGGCTGTTTATGTTTTTCTCAGTTTTTGAACAAACCCCATGTTTTATGAACTCATTCCGTCACTGAAGTAAAATGCTTAAATTCAAATGTTTTTTGTCTGTTAGTAAAATAACATAAAAATTCAGCTCATGAGTTTAATTTCCTTGCTCTGCCAGTGCCACACCAAGCCTTGTCATTTTAGTCCTTTTAATTTTCAAGAACAATGAACTGTGACATACTGTTACATGAAACAAACATGCTTTTGTCTCATATCAGTTGTAAGTTTGAATCACATTTTGCCTTGCGTTGTGCGAAATCAGAATTTGCCAGAATCCCAAAAGAGTTCCATCATTCTGTTCCTTGTCTGTACACAGGAGTGTTCATAGCTAAAATGACGCAAGAAAGCTGTTTCTTAAAACTTCTTTGCTTGTCCACAGTAGCCTCATAGCCTCTGTGTTAAGAACAGGATCATTTATTATTATTAGAACCTAAAAAGTTAAGTAAAAATGCATTCTTATCCTTGATAGTTATAGCATGTTAGCAACACAGTTGTTGCTCTTCAGATTAAATGAAAGTAAAATATACATTTGCTGACACAAAAATAGAATTTGGTGACAAAGAAACTGTAGGAACTCTTATTTATGAAGTACAAATGGATCAAACACAGAGGCAAAATGGCACAGCTCGAGTAAATGTTCTTTCCATGTTCTTGACATTACTATGTAGTCCCAATTTACAAATGTAACAGCTTACGTTCATGATCAAAGACACTCTCATTAAGAACAACTAAATTGGAGGTCTGGAATTGAAACCTAACTAAGGATAAATGAATTAATAAAAAGTACCACCTAAATTATTTATTTTTATAATGAATCATATTATATTATTTAATATTTGCAGATTGCCTTAGCTCTATGTTTATCTAATTTAGTTGAAAATGCTTAATTAATGGGAGTAAGTTTTTTTGCAGAATTAAAGAAATGAAAACTGATAATAAGCTTATACAATGGAAATTGAAATGTCTTTATATCTTTTTTTTTTTCTCTCGTCTCACTTTAAACATAATAAATGCCTGCACCATAAGCTAATGACCTGGTGCACTGTAATGATTTGACACAGCCAACAGGAGATGGGAGTATCCAGGTCATCAGTTTAACAGATGTGACTTTTAAAGGGTTGACTCTGAAAAATGCGCATGCCTCTCAGTCAGACGGACAAAGATTTGAATCTGGTCTAAGAGATAACCTTGGTTTGCTTCTTTGACCATGTTCTTGTAGTTTTGGGCCTTAGTCTAGCATGAAGACTACTTCACCCACTTCAGGAAAACAAAATTTATGGGCCAATAGATAATTATAAAGGGATAAAACTGACTTCAACATTAAAAATCAGTTTTTGAAAATAATTTAAATATGTATAAAGATAATCTTAATTATTATTTTTTTATTTACATGCATGCAAAACATAAAGATGTTGCTGTAAAGGCAATAAAAGCCTAAATATCATGGTGTCTGTAAATGCAAAGTGCTATTTGCAGACAAAGTATCAGACACTGTGTCAGATTAAAACAGACAGTATCATTTTGACCTAAATTGTACAGAAACTTTATTGCTTTTTCATATCAAGACCACATGTGCTGGGGAGGTTTTGTGAGCTCACTGGACACATATTTTTAAGGCAGTCAAACTTCACAAAAGTTCTAAAGTGTCATGTAGAAACATAGAAAAATAGTATGACAAGTGGGGCTTCAAACTAAAAAATAAAAATTATTTTGGTATTCTTCATCATATTTTGTTGTTTCCCTTTTCAGTGATTTTATATTGTGAAGTCACATGGTTTAATTATTTTCTTGTCCTCCTTGCCTTTAAAGAAAATAGATTTACAGTGATGAATTTAATGCTTACATGTGAAAACGTATACTGAACTTTTAAAAGAAAACATAAACTAATAGTTACAGTATGTAATAACTATCAATAGTGTTTACATAAAGTATGTTTATTTTCTACTCCTGATTCACTGTCACTGATTGTCAACATAGTGTTGCTTTCTCATTGACAAAGTCAACCCAGTGGAATTCTTCAAAATCAACAGTAAATTATGAACCAAAGCAGACACATTGAAACTATGTGGAAGTGCATTAAAAACGGATAACAGAAGGTACTTCTTTACCCAAAGGGTTGTGGGAATATGGAACAAGCTACCCAGCCATGTTGCAGAAGCCGACACCCTGGTTTCTTCCAAGAAACAATTGAATGAGGTCCTTGGATCAATTAACTATTGACAAGTGGGCTAGATGGGTTGAATGGCCTCCTCTCATTTATAAACTTTCTAATGTTTTTATTCTTGAACCTGATTGTAGAGTAACTGTCCTTCTGGAGAAACCATCTTAATGTTCTTTATGAATGGGCTATGCTAGCTCCCCACATCAAGCCATAGGACATAAACTAGAAACAGATAATGCAGAACCATGAAAATGGTTAGCAAGAGAATTAGTATAACATGTTTTGTTTGCTTTGAATATGCTTAATCAATATCCTATTATCTTCTGCTAATGTTTTCTGCAACATTAGGTTTCTAACCACATTATCCTATAAGACTGATTTACCAGTATATACCTCAATAGAAATCATGTATTTAATCTAATATAGCTCCTAAAGTAAAAAATATTTATATATATATTGTATATCTTACATTCAAGGCAGTATGGAAGCCCATGATAAACTACTATCTGTTCTTATGTATACAGTAACTAATTTGAAAATATGATTTAGTTGTTCTGTACTGACCCTTATTCATTTGCAGAACTTTCTGATTGAAACCAAGGTCTATGGTGTAGTTTCCCGTCATGTTTTTGCTACCATTATGCCCTTTGTATTTCCCAGTAATCTTTTCAGCACCATTCAGGGATGCAATCAATAATCTTTTTGAAGATGAGCTATCATGTACATTTCCTTTCTGAATAACTTTTGTCTGGCTTGCAAATAGATAAGAAATGTTAAATTCTTGTATTTACCAGACTTTATGGACTGTTGTAACCCTTATTTTTGAATGAGATTTGTTTTAAGTTCCGAATCTAAGCAATTTCATTTTCACTGTCCTTCCACACAATTTCAAGTCAAATTGACTTTCTATTTATAGAGCAGCATGCACTTCCAACATACTGTAGATATTCAGAAGGGAAATTATTCCTCTTTGAGAGAAACTGAGATCACTGTTCTATGAAATGTCATCTAGTCTCAAAATACGAAGTCATAAGTTAAAACTCTCATCTGATAATAACATAAAAAGTGCTGCATATTAGAGCAGGTAAGCAACTCATTATTTTGTCCAAGAATCTCATCTGAAGGATACTAGAATGGTAACATTTATTAGATATTTCCAAGGTGTGATTATTTGCTCCATGTAACCCCAACTCTTTGCATAAAGAAGCACTTCCTGTCATTAGGCTTGGACTTCGTACTGTAGAGTGCACAACTTAGATATCCAAGAGCCACAGGGTATCTATTGTTATGACAGAGATGAACGTCAGAAAACATTTAGGAGCAATTACAAACTAAAAAACCTTCTCTCACCGCTGTAATTATCTCATCAGCTCCAGGCTACTTAAACTCCGCCTTTCCCATGGTCAGATGCTCTGTCATGGAGCTTCCTACTGATTCAGGAAGCACTAGCACTAACCATCTAGCACTAATCATCCCATCAGTACTTCAGGATTCTGCCTGAATCAGCCTGGCTGCCCAAACCCGAGCTGGAACCGCATGGCCAGATGAATCCCTATCTGCACCTAACTCATTATGCCTTCTCGGCAACCAACCACATCAGTCGGACTGTGCAGCTTCCAGGTCTTCCTGACCTCTTGGCAGCGCAGTTTCCCCTGAATTGCTCAGCTAAACTGCTTCATGCCATGCTGGTCCTCTTTAGCCTGGCTGCACAGTGTGTTCCCTTTTTTGTATGTCCCCTGTCTGCCTTCCCTGTTTCATTCCTCTTTTGTCTGCCTGCACAGCACATCCCCAGCTCTCATCTCTCCAGTTGCCTTCACTTACACCAAGCTAGTAGACTCCTCATCATATCTTACAGATGCAGCACTTTCCACCTCAATCCTGTGTCATAACAGAAACCATATGGGGACTGAGAAAATGAGACCCTGAGATTTTCATCCAATAAAATTTAAAGGATCCCAGTAGTTATTTTGGTTTATTTTTTTGTATCAAGAACGTCTCTCC